AGTGTAAACAGGTCAAAAATGCAAGATACTTCATCAACAACGTAAAACAGATTCACCAAAACGCATTCTAGCGGAAACATCATAACTCAGGCTCTACAAGTCCAAATCCAGAAATTCCAAAACCATTTGAAAGCTAAGAAACATGGTTAAATTTAATCAGAAGGCCTCAACAACCAATTCGGAAGCAATTCCAGCCAAAACAACCAATTACAGTCGCAAATCCCAATTTCGGGTAAACCAGAACAGCACTAGTAATTTCGAATTTTCTCACTCTACTCTACTCCGATTGACCTGAAATTTTGTAGGAACCTCTAAAATGTCATTCCCTACAACTTTCATGTTTTGAGGTAAGGCCAATTCGGCCTCTGTCTAGGACCAAAAATTTCGGACAGAATGAAGAACCAAGAACCCTAATTTTCCAGATTTCTTCCAAAACAGAAATTAATTGCAATCTTCCACTTTTTCCACCTCCTAGAGTCATTAAACATCAGTTCCCATCATCAAGGATAACCACAACATCACATTCATATTAAACCTGAAAATTCATCAATAAATTGAAACTTCATCAATTCATCCAAAACCAAGAAGTAAACCACAAAATTCATCACTTTAACTACCACTAGGTACTAATTAAGCTTCATTAAGTGAAGGAGAAAGTTCAATCACCACTCACCTAGTAAACAAGAGAGGAAGAGTTGTTTGTCACCTTAGCTTCCCAAAACACTTCACCAAACCACTTACTAACACCTAAAGAAGAGATTTTATGGAGTAGAAACAAGTCTAAGTGATTGCTTTGGATGATTTGCATTAGATGGATGCCAAACTTTGAAGAGTTTTTCTTTCTTCCTTGCTCAAGGTGGCCGGCCACAATGGAGGTAAGAAATGGTGATTTTTGTGGTAATTTTGAGATATTTAATGAATTGGTCAAATAAGTCAAAAGGTGAATAGTTGTCATAAGTTACAACCACTCTTAAGGTGACACTTGTCACTTCCTTTAAAACATCTCTATCCTTTAAGTCCCTCTCACATCAATCACATCTCAACCTCTACTTATCTCTTAACACCCGATAAATTTCAACCAATATCCGAAACTTAACCTAATTGGCTGAATTTTTCCGAACTTCTCACACTAGTGGGTCCCACGTCCGGTATACGCTCTTAATTTCTCAAAATCTATTCGATACTAGAAAAATCATCTAAAAACTATATTTACTCATAAAAATTATCTAGAAAATTTTCCAGATACAGAAAGTGCAGAAAACAAGTCATGAAAAATGCGAAAACCTAGAAAATGCAATTTACGGGTTCTCACAATTTTCATAGCAATACTTGACCTGCAAGTTGCTTGAGTAGTTGGAATTGCATACTGATATAAAAAAACATGTCTACCAAAATAATAATAATCATAAAAAAAGAATCCAATCAAAGGAATTTTATATACCATATAAAAAAGGGTAAATCTTTTATATACTGATAGTGTATATACTAGCAGGTCTAGATGTATGCTACATATACAAAATTTGATATCTAAATTCAAATTTAGATGATATGGTGTTGGGCTCTGAGAGAGCCAAACTTGGGGAGAATTTAACCATGAGCTAGAATGGGAACCACAACCATGGGTTTGACACCACATCCAACCCAAAACCTTAAGGCATTGGGTCTATGGATCATTTCCACTTATATGTTCCTCATTCTACTCATCTCTTTCCGATGTGGGATATTGATTCACACTTGATATCCCAACAATCTCCCCCTCAATTGTGAATTTCTTCTACATCGAACCTCTCTCCCTAGCCCATCCACTCCATCAAGCCCACTTCAATCTGGAGTGTACGATTCTTGCTCAAGAGCCCACATGCCCTTGCCTCACTGCAGGTCTGCATGATTTTTTTTTTCCCCGCTCTTATCCAAGCCACGTCTTACCACTCCCACTGGCTTTTTACCCTGGAGTCACTGCCCAGCCGAACCATCGGCTCTAATACTACTTGTTGGGCTTTGAGAGAGCCAAACTTGGAGAGAATTTAACCATGAGCTAGAATGGGAACCACAACCATGGGTTTGACACCACATCCAACCCAAAACCTTAAGGCATTGGGTCTATGGATCATTTCCACTTATATGTTCCTCATTCTACTCATCTCTTTTCGATATGGGATATTGATTCACACTTGATATCCCAACATATGGAATTCATCCAACCCCGTCAATGTATATACTAACAATGTAGGAAAGGCTTTTAATGGCAAAGGTAAATCTTTTATACATTAATAGTATATACACTAGCGGGTCTAGATACATGCCATATATACAAATTTTGATATTTAAATTCAAATTTAGTAAGATTTAAAGGATTTTTTAACTTTGGTTTAGTAAGATTCATACATTTTTTAACTTTTTTTTGTTTAGCTGGCAGTGGATTTCAGTTTTCTTCCTGTTGAGGTTTGAGGCCCGCCCAAAGCGAATTCTTCATAGATCATACATTCAGGCTGATAGTGAATTTGCCGGTGATAGTGAACCTCTGCAAGTTCATTTCAAGTAACTTAAGGGAACAAAGGAGTTAAAAAATTGTTTGGACAAGAGTTATTTGATTTTTTTTTTTAATTTTGAGACATTCCCTAAACACATTTTGTTACTATCCTCTTACCCCACTACCATAAAACAGGAGAAAATGCTAAAATGTAAAACAAAATGTTTATCCACAATTTTTCCATATTTATCCTTTTCAAAATTACATATTAAATCGAAAGTATTAACGTTTTAGTCTAAACTTCTATGATAAAGATACTAAAATGTAAAAAAAAATATTAGCCATATTTCTTTTCTCTATACCTTCTTCATTTCTTCCAATTTTTAAATCACCCCACCCAATCCAACTTTCTGCCTTTTAATTATCCAAATTTAAAGAAAAATATTTTTACAAATGTTGTAATTTTATTAGTTGCACAAACATCGAGTCTGCGCGAATCATTAGTTTATGTAAAATAAGCCTCAAAAACATGAAATCCACGAAGGAAACAAATCAAGGCCCAATAATTTATTCAAACAAACCAGTGCGTGAGCCAATCTTCAATAACAATGAGTGAGCCAAACTTCAATTAAATGGGCATTAATAAATTCCTCATGTTTCTATACCAACCTCTTATTTTTGTAAAAAATGTGTACTTACTGGCCATCCCACATTAAATGCCTCGAAAATAAAGTACTATCACAACTGCATAACTGCTTTTTTATAATTAGTGTACAAAGTAGGCATAACTGCCATCACATCTTTCTTTGTACTAGTTGAAAGTACTATAACATTATTGCTGGCTTTACTAGGAAAATAGCACCATAGCAGGAAAGTTTTTTCAATGCGTGAATCTATTGCCACTACATGTCCCTACAGGAGAAAAATGATGTGATCTAGATCACACTCCACAAATTGCAAGATATACAGAAAACAGAATAGTTGTATTGCCAAAATGGCGATTACAAGCGGAACAAAGCAAGTTCTAGCAGAGGGAGACAAAGGCTGAGGGTAAAACTGAAACCTCAATTATTGTAGCAGTACCAATCTTGAACTGAACTTTTAGTCTAAGGATAAACCTCAATGAGACAATTTTGAACTGAACTTTTAGTCTAAGGATAAACCTCAATGAGACAGCGCACACCCAACACTGGAAGTACTTTGTAGTCACTGAAACCAGCATCTTGGAAAAGCTTTGCCCATTCTTTCTCAGTTCTTTCTTTAGCACCGAAACACATCAACATCTGCATGTCCACAACAAATTGTGTTTCAACTGACTCGTCGTCTTTCATGTGGCTTTCCAAAATCATGTCGATAATAATGACTTTCCCCCCTTTGTCTCTCCCTGGAATAGCCTCTTTGCAGTTCTTGAGAATCTTCACACAATCATCATCACTCCAGTCATGGAGAATCCACTGTTTTCCAGTAAAATCACAAAATTTAGAATACATAATTAGCTGTGTTGGCGTCCTAAATTAAGATTATCACACTCCATCACTGCCTCACGCATCGATTAATGAGCGCCAAGAACTCCAGTTTCTATAGCAAATATTCTAGCCTCTCAAGCAAAAATTTTGCATATGATTATTAAAGCTGGACGTTCAATTGTTTATATTTTAGTTCATTGAAATCGTTGTAGACTTGTATATCAACAACGGATTTCATAGAAAATATCCTTAATTACCTTGAGCAAGATTGCATCAGCAGCAGGTACCTTCTCTAGCATATCTCCCGCAACAAAGTCCAAGTTCTCAGTTCCCTCTTGGTCGGCAATCACGTGTGGGAGATCACACACAACACACTCCAAGTTGGGGAAATTTTGGGCAATGGCCCTAGCAACTGCCCCTGTGCCACCCCCAACATCCACTAAAGATGTCAAGCCGTCAAACACAAACTTGCATTGGGTCATCATCACCTGAACGGTTAAAGTAGAATCATTGGCCATGGCTTCGTTGAAGAGGTTTGCAAAATTAGGCTCTTCAGCAGCATAAGCCCAGAAGTTTTTCCCGTGCGCCGTATGAAATGGAGAGGGATCATCATTCCTGAACCACTCAGTCAAGGAATTCCAGGGCTTCACTAAAACAGGATCGCCCGTATAAAAGATAAATGCCCTTAAATTGAAAGGCTCCTCTTTTAAAAGAAGACGGCCTGCAGCTGTGAGGGCATAGCCTTGATCTTGTAGAACAAAGAAGCCGGCATTTGATAAGAATCGCATCAAGCGATAGATGTGGTTAGCCTTCGAAGGGTTAATTGGAAGGGCAGAAACCAGCTCAGAAAGTGTGATAGGCTTCCCATGTTGATTGATGGCATCCGGGATTCCCAGTTCAATTGCACATTTTAGAGATGCAGACTTTCTGAAGTTGAGTATTTGGTTGCCTACATGATTTTGAGCTGCAAGAAGCTCAGTAAGATTCTCCACTCTTTCCATTCCTGCAACTTTTCGAATCAATGATTTAGGCTGCTTGATTATTGCTTTACAAGTTGGGCAAAAATGGTTTCCAGTTTTTATAGCAGGTGAGCACAGAGACCGACGGCATTTGCCTGCACTTAATATAAGTCTTTCATTTTTTTATTTATTTTTTTGCTGATTAGTGTGAATTAAAAACATTCGAACGAGTTCCGACTCGTCTCTTTTGGGCTTGTAAAGTTAAAAAACCAAAGGCCTTGTCAACAGGTGGTGTGGGCTGTTTAATTGGTCCAGCCGGCTTCAAATCCTTGGTCGCGCATCCCAATTCCGTTGCTCAAATGACACATTGCAAGACGCATTGCAACAACGTAAATTCTTGTAACTCAACTCACATATAAAATTAAAAGAACTGTCACGTGACGGAATTAGTGAATTTAACATGGAATGATTTTTTACATCCGCAATTGGATTGTGACCGAATGTCTGTAACTGAGGATTTGATGCCTTTTCAACTTAATAACCTTGATGTTGTACTAAGTCAACAACGAACAAAATAAGCCAAAAAAAAGGGCTCTCAAATGTTTTTTTAGTACTCTAAGCAAGAAATTACGAGCAACTGAGAACGCATTTGTGCTCTGTTCATTGTTGATAATGAAACACAGTGTTACATGCACCAAAGATTTGATAAGTAGCAAAATTTGCACAATCTCTGCTCGGTCCTCACCAATCAGCTAAACTAAGTATCATGCAATCAGAATAGAAGACGACTCACGAATTAAAAAAAAAAAAAGATAGAAGAAGATCAGGAATACAATTAACAGATTGTTAGTGAAGCCCTGGAATTTCTTGACCGAGTGGTTCCAGAATGATGATCCCTCTCCAATTGATACTGCATATGGGAATAATTTCTGGCATTACAACGCTCAAGAAGTTCGATTTGGAAAAATGTTCAATGAGGCCATGGCTAGTGATAATCATTTGTCTGTAGAAGTGCTGATGACCAAATGCAAGTCTGTGTTTGAAGGCTTGACAACTTTGGCTGATGTTGGGGGTGGCACAGGCAAAGTTGCTAGGGCCATTGCCCAAAACTTTCCTAACATAAAATGTACTGTGTATGATCTCCCACACGTCGTTGCTAATCAAGGAGGAGCTGAGAACTTGGAATTTTTAGCTGGAGATATGTTTCAAAGTGTACCCCGTGCTAATGCAATCTTGCTGAAGGTAACTAAAGCCACCTTGTCACTGAATTTCTGATTTTTTTTTAATAGCAGAAAAAATTTATGATTTTCTTATTAAGTTTTCTGTTTTTTGCTCTCATTTGGAATGATTTGCACGATTTGAAACTTATATTGAATCTCTCATAATAATTTGTGATTATATCGGCAATTAAACAGCGGATCCTTCATGACTGGAGTGATGAAGACCGTTTGAAAATTCTCAAGAACTGCAAAAATGCCATTCCAGAGAAAGACAATGGGGGGAAGGTGATCATTATAGACAGTGTAATGGGAAGCCAGATACAAGATAAGACATCATTTGAAACATCCCTTAAAAACTTGATAATATTGTATGTAAATATTAGAGTTCAACACCCCCCCCCCCCCCAAAGTTCTCAAGATATACGAGGGTACCTTCTTAAATGCACAAGTTTCCTAATATTGTCCTCTCTTCACCACTTCCTCTCTTCTCTCCTAAAATCTTAACCTCTGATTATGTTACCACTCTACTGTGTGAAATGTAACAAAAATGAAAAGCACAGTTAAACAGAGATTCAATTTATCTCTATTATTGTTCAAAAGAATGACACGAGTAGTTCTAGTAGTACAATTTGATTATTAAATTTTAGGGTTAAATGCCAAAAAACTCCCCACAAACTATATACCCAATTGCAGTTTACCCCATAAACTATAATAATAGAAATTTTGCCCCCTTGAATGATATGTTTGGACAACACTACCCCTACTATCTTACTTTTTTTTTCTATTTTCTCTATTCGCTTTTTCATTTTTTCCTTTTCTCCCTTTTTTCCCTTTCATTTTCTTCTTTTTCCCTTTCTCTCGTGGAACTAGCCAATGTTTCCCTCTAGTGCAAAAAGACTTACATCAAAATTTTTAATATTTTAAAACCACTTTTTTTATTTGTTTATTTGTTAAATTCATTCTTAATAATTTATCATAAACTCTTTGTTATTACAAAATCTATGTAACTTATATCGTAAAGTGTATTAATCTAGTAATTAAACAATTTAAGTACCTATAAATCAATTAAGAGTTCACAGTTACTCAACTACTTATAACAAAAGTAACATATTATATATCACATAAAAAAGAAAAGTTAACAATTGTTATTTGTAGTGAAATAAAAAGATAAGAAGAAACAACAACAGTAGTTCATTTTTTATTTGTTATTGATACTACTAATAATGGATTAATCAATATCTCTATTTTGTTATTATATATTTGAATAGTTTAATTTCTTAAATGACATTGACTTCAACATTTGGAAAAAAAATTTTGCATTCCATAGAATTCTTTTATAAAATATTGACATATAAAATTAAGAAATAAACAAGCTTTGACTAATCTAGTACACTGATTTAAACAATGTTTAAAGAAAAAAAAGGAAGAATCTAAAAAAAAAATGATGGGGAAAAAGGAAAAATAACAATGCTTAAGATAAAAAAGGGGTAGATTTGTCTAATAATATCATGAAAGGGGGCAAAGTACCTACAAACATAGTTTTGGGGGTAAACTGCAATAACGTATTCATTTGGGATTTTTGCATTTTTCCCTAAGTTTTATCTGCGTGGATATATAAATTTCTAAAGGTACTTTAAGCTTTTATATCAAAAAATGATTTCATTGTTAATGAAAATAACATCCTATTATATCCTCAAAAGTGTTGCAAATAATTCAAAATAGACGAGTAACCATGTCCTCATGTAAATTAATTCAGAATATAATACTACTTGGAGAATCCTATTTTTGAGGGATTTAAAAAATAAATAAATTTTGCAATGTTAAATGTTAGTATAGTATCTCAGTACAAGTGGAGTGTGCATTTACAAGATAAATTCAGCCTAGCTGTTGCAAAACTATTTTTAAAATATTTTTCTTATATAATAACGCTACCCAATCAGGAAGAGCTGAACCCATTATTTTCCATGGCGCAGGAGGAGACTATGCGTTTGGCTCTTGTGCATTCCGATTTCATCCAGAAACTGGTAATGCTTTTCAACATCGGCCAGCATCTTGTCTATGGACGGCAAATTCACTTTTCCAGATGAAACGCCAGCTACCCACCTGGCTTGTAGCTCCATCATGAGAAAAATTATTGTCAATTTGTCAAAAACAAAAATGTCAAAATTAGCTGATCAAAATTGACTCTAAAGTATTAATTAAGTAAAATCATTTTCTCTCTTAATTACAAGAACAATATTAAGACTAACCCGGTTCGATATTCCAATAAAAGAAAGAATTGGAGCAAGTTGTGGAGGAAAGACGTGCTTGTAAGACGGACGAACTTGGTTGTCATCAATAGTAACAATCCCCTTTGTGTTTCAAAAATGAAAATCATATTTGAACCTTCTTTTTTTTTTGGCAAAAATCCCCAAACCCGGGGAGAAGGTGCCAACTCCTATTTTTATTGGAGAAAAAAAAAAACAAAATAAGAGTGTCAACAAGATAGCATGCGTCAAAGAAACTAAGAAATCTATTCCCTTACAATCTGACGACGAATACGAAGGCATTCGTCCCTATCTAAAACTAAAGATGCCCTGACTCAAAATGGTAACTGGTAAGGGGAATTGTAAAAAACATTTTCATTGAGTTGCAAGGCCGCTAGCTTATCTGCAGTAGCATTTGCCTCTCGATAAACATAAACAACTGAGGCAGCCAACTCCTGGGAGAGCCCCCTAACCCATCGTAGAACATTACATAATGGCCATTTGGCTAGCGCTCCTGAACAAATCATGTGAACCAGGACTCTAGAGTCCACCTCCACCAATAGATGATTACAATCCCTTTCCTGGGAAAGCAACAGGCCATGCATCAGCGAGAAACTTTCAGCTGCCAACACATCAACATCTCCAAATTCTTTATAGAAAGCAAAGATGAGGTCACCGTAATGATCCAGTAGAATACCGCCCCCTACTTCTTTTCCAACTGCAACACTGGCGTCCGTGTTCAGTTTGACGTGAAATTGAGGGGACGAAACCATTTCATCACCATAACTGAGGGATGACGAAGTCGAGAGGAGGCAAAGCCAGCCCAAAGATCATCCATGTCCCCACGAAAATGACTTGCAAAGGAAATCCTACGGCTCCCAACGGTTCAATAAAATGATTAATCTTGACAATCACCTCTTGAACATTAAACCTAGCTCCCTCAAATCTTGCCCGATCGCGCATTTTTCATATAAACCAAATAATAATAGAGGGCATGGCACTATGAATGTGATCCTTCAAAGTTTTTGAAGATGAATAAAATCAAGAAACCCACATCGCCGAAAGTAAGGACTTCATGACATCAAGAATACCAAATCATCTTGTAAAATGGTCCTAGACAATTGTAGCACTTGGCCCGTGAAGCAGCAAATTACTCACCGACTCCTCCTCCTGTAGGCAGCAATCACATCTAGACACTAAGGAGATGCCGCGCTTTCTCAAAGTCAGATCTAGAGGCAATAAGTTCCTCAAAGCACACCAAGTAAAAAGGGAGACCTTTAAAGGCAGAATGTTACACCAAAGTAACCTTTTAACCAACGTTGCATTCCTGCTGGAGCGCAAACCTTCCCACGCTGACTTGATCGACAAACACGCTGCAGCCGATGGCAACCATCCCATCACGTCATCTAGGTCAGGATAAAGAAAAAGCTAAGAGACATGTTGAACCAAATGGGCTGAAAGCCATTACTGCAATTTCGATATGATCCATCCACCCGACGTATAAAAACTCCACAACCAGCATATAAGGGGGATTATGCACTGCTACCACTTCAGTTATTGGAGCCGAAATTAGCCAACGAACATACCAAAAATCCACAATCCCCTTACCTAAGCACCATCTGATATTCTCCTCAACAAATAAATGGATCTCATCGAGTCTTCTCCAAGCCGCAGAAGGACGATGAACTTTGACTAGAGACGAATGCACCCCCTTGATATATTTTGGACGCATGAAGGCAGACCAAACCGAGTTATTCAAATGGAGCCGCCACAAAAGTTTGCAAGAAAAAGCCTGATAAGTATCTTCAAAAGAACGGAATCCCAAACTTTCCTCTTTCAAAGAAAAACAAAGATTATCCCAAGATGTCCAATGAACCCGCTTATTATCAACATTCTGATCCTACAAAAATGCATTACAAATGCTGCCTGGCCTTACAAACACTGCCTTGGGAGGATGTAAAACAGTTAGTAAGCATTAATCCCTTTTACTTGTAGTTATATCCTCTCCCCTTAAAAAATTAGCAATCATATCATATTAATCCCCTTTGTAAACACTCCTGTCCTCTTTCCATAGAACAATATCAACCATGTCATCTTAATTGTAGTCAAATTTATTAGAATTTTTTTAACGAATACTCATTCGGTACTCTTAACATACCTAAATCACGTCTATCTTACTATAATAATACGCATGGTCACAATTAATGCATCCACTGCATTTCGACATTTTGCCGAGTTGATAATAGTTTTTTTTTTTTTAATTATAACACTTAAAACTCTTTTAACTAGGTAACCATCAAGCACCCGTTAAGGAAATCATTTTATTATTCTTGAAATGTACAATTGTATATTTCCAGTCCATACCAGATTGTAAACCCCCATATTATTGTATGTCACTGTCCAGCTCTAGGCTACTGCCACTTAAAACTTAGAAGGGTCTCCACCTATTATTAGGATTCGGCAAATGAAATGTGGGCTTTAATTACTGGTGGTCACCAGATTAAAAGGAAAAAAGAAAAACCATGTGTAGGTTGATACCCGGTAGCATGGAGAATGGCATCAGCAGCAATTAGAGCTCCATCCTTGAAAGCTATTTCGCCATTTTCATAGCAATACTCGACCTGCAAGTTGCTTGAGTAGTTGGAATTGCATACTGATATAAAAAAACATGTCTACCAAAATAATAATAATCACAAAAAAAAAAATCCAAACAAAGGAATTTTATATACCATATAAAAAAGGATAAATCTTTTATACACTGACTATATATATACCAGCAGGTCTAGATATATGCTACATATACAAAATTTGATATTTAAATTCAAATTTAAATGATGCGGTATCCATCCAACCCTATCAGTGCATACACTGACAGTGTAGGAAAGGATTTTAATGGCAAGGGTAAATATATTATATATTGACAGTGTATGCATTAGCGAGTCTAGATACATGCCACATATATAAAATTTGGTATTTAAATCCAAATTTAGTAAGATTCGAAGGATTTTTTGACTTTGGTTTAGTAAGATTCATTCATTTTTTAACTTTTTTTTTGGGTGGCAGTGGATTTCAGTTTTCTCCCTATTGAAATTTGAGGCCTGCCCAAAGCGAATTCTTCATAGATCATGCATTCAGGCTGATGGTGAATTAGCCAGTGATAGTGAACCTCTGCAAGTTCATTTCAAGTAACTTAGGGAACAAAGGAGTTAAAGGATTGTTTGGACAAGAGTTATTTGATTTTTTTTTAAAGTTAAAGGATTGTTTGGACAAGAGTTATTTGATTTTTTTTTAAAAAAAAAAAATTTTGAGACATTCCCTAAACACATTTTGTTACCATCCTCTTATCCCCCTACCACAAAGCAGGAGAAAAATGCTAAATGTAAAACAAAATGTTTATCCACAATTTTTCCATATTTATCCTTTTCAAAATTACACATTAAATTGAAAGTATTAACATTTCAGTCCGAACTTATATGATAAAGATACTAAAATGTAAAACAAAATATTAGCCATATTTCTTTTCTCTTTACCTTCTTCATTTCCTCCAATTTTTAAATCACCCCAACCAATTATCCAACTTTCTGCCTCTCAATTATCCAAATTTAAAGAAAAATATTTTTAAATATGTTGTAATTTTATTAGTTGCACAAACATCGAGTGTGCTTGAATCATTAGTTTACATGAAATCCACAAAAAGAAACAAATTCAGCCCAATAATTTATTCAAACAAACCAGTGCGTGAGCCAATTTTCAATTAAATGGGTGAGCCAAACTTCAATTAAATGGGCATTAACAAATTCCCCATGTTTCTATGCCAACCTGATTTTTGTAAGAAATGTGTACTTATTGGCTATCCCACATTAAATGCCTTAAAAATAAAGTACTAGCACAACGGCATAACTGCCATCACATCTTTCTTTGTACTATAACATCATTGCTGGCTTTACAATGGCAGGAAAGTTTTTTCAATGCGTGAATCTATTGCCACTACATATCCCTACAGGAGAAAAATGATGTGATCTAGATCACACTCCACAAATTGCAAGACACACAGAAAACAGAATAGTTCTATTGCCAAAGTGGCGATTACAAGCAGAGCAAAGCAAATTCCAACAGTGGGAGACAAAGGCTGAGGATAAAACTGAAACCTCAATTATTGTAGCAGTACCAATCTTGAACTGAACTTTTAGTCTAAGGATAAATCTCAATGAGAATTTTGAACTGAACTTTTAGTCTAATGATAAACCTCAATGAGACAGCGCACACCGAACATTGGAAGTATTTTGTAGTCACTGAAACCAGCATCTCGGAAAAGCTTTGCCCATTCTTTCTCAGTTCTTTCTTTAGCAGCGTGACACATCAACATCAGCATGTCCATACCAACTTGTGTTTCAACTGACTCGTCGTCTTTAATCTGGCTTTCCAAAATCATGTCGATAATAATGACTCTTCCCCCTTTGTTTCTCCCTGGAATAGCCTCTTTGCAGTTCTTGAGAATCTTCACACAATCTTCATCACTCCAGTCATGGAGAATCCCCTGTTTTCCAGTAAAATCACAAAATTAAGCTTATCACACTCCATCACTGCCTCACGCATCAATTAATGAGAGCCAAGAACTCCAGTTTCTTTAGCAAACAGCCTCTCAAGCAAATATTTTGCATATGATTATTACTGTTATTCTTTCATACAACAGGCGCCTATGTTAGCGATCTTGCAAATCAACTGTTAAAGCTGGACGTTTAATTGTTTATATTTCTGTTTATTGAAATCGTTGTAGACTTATATATCAACATTGTCTCAATTGTTTCTTAATTATTCGAGTGGATAAGGAAAAAACGGATTTCATCGAAAGTATCCTTAATTACCTTGAGCAAGATTGCATCAGCAGTAGGTACCTTCTCTAGCATATCTCCTGCGACAAAGTCCACGTTCTCAGTTCCCTCTTGGCCGGCAATCACGTGTGGGAGATCACACACAACACATTCCAAGTTGGGGAAATTTTGGGCAATGGCCCTAGCAATCGTCCCTGTGCCGCCCCCAACATCCACTAAAGATGTCAAGCCGTCAAACACAAACTTGCACCGGGTCATCATCACCTGAACGATGAAAGTAGAATCATTGGCCATGGCTTCATTGAAGCGGTTTGCAAAATTAGGCTCTTCAGCAGCATAAGCCCAGAAGTTTTTCCCATGCGCTGTATCAAATGGAGCGGGATCATCATTCCTGAACCACTCAGTCAAGGAATTCCAGGGCTTCAGTAAAACTGGGTCGCTCATAAAAAAGATAAGTGCCCTTAAATTGAAAGGATCGTCTTTTAAAAGAAGACGGCCTGCAGCTGTGAGCGCATAGCCTTGATCTTGTAGAACAAAGAAGCCGGCCTTTGATAAGAATCGCATCAGGCGATAGATGTGGCTAGCTTTTGAAGGGTTATCCGGAAGGGCAGAAACCAGCTCAGAAAGTGTGATAGGCTTCCCATGTTGATTGATGGCTTCAGGGATTCCCAGTTCAATTGCACATTTTAGAGATGCAGACTTTCTGAAGTTGAGCATTTGGTTGCGTACATGATTTTGAGCTGCAAGAAGCTCAGTAAGATTCTCCGCTCTTTCCATTCCTGCAATAGTACAGAGACCAACGGCAAAAATGGTTTCCAGTTTTATAGCAGGTGAGCACAGAGACGAACGGCATTTGCCTGCACTTAATATAAGTCTTTCATCTTTTTTTTTTTGCTGATTAGTGACAATTAAAAACATTTGAACAAGTTCCGACTCGTCTGTTTTGGGCTTGTAAAGTTAAAAACCAAAGACCTTTTCAACAGGTAGTGTTGGGCTGTTTAATTGGTCCAGCCAGCTTTAAATCCTTAGTCACGCATCCCAATGTAGATTCTCCAAACTCAACTCACACGTAAAATTAAAGAACTGTCACGTGACGGGAGTAGTGAATTTAACATGGAATAATCTTTTACGTAGGCGATTGGATTGTGACCGAATGTCTGTAACTGAGGATTTGATGCCCAGTTCAGCCTTTTCAACTTAATAAATAACCTTGATGTTGTACTCAGTCAGCAGCGAACAAATTGAGACCAAAAGAAGGGGCTCTCGAATGTTTTTTCAGTACCCTAATCACGAAATTACGAGCAACTGAGATCGCATTTTTTTCCTTCCTTTTTTGGTATGCATCTTCAACAACTATTACTTTCTTACGGCTATGATTAAGCCACTTCGCATTGCCAAATTTTCTAATAATCCAAATTAAGCAAAGTAAATAAGTATTTTGGAATTTCACACTAAATGTAAAAGGAAAAAAAAATCTCAAAAATATTTCAAAATGTTAGATTACTAATCACGTCCATGTTTCCGAGATTGCGAACATATGTATGTACTATTGAACAATGATGAGTACTTGTTTTTGTCTAGGATTAAGCCTTAAAATAGTTGATAAGCAAGTGTTTTGGATTGCACACTAAAAGGGAAAAGATTTCCAAGAATTAAAAAAGTTAAATTGCTGGCGTTGTTAATGTTGAATATGTCCTTTTGCACGGTGATTATTATTTAGTCCTATTGCATTTTGGCTAAAATGCGTAATTATGTAAGAATTCAGAAATTTTGGGTCATTTATCATTATTAAAACAGTAAAGAAATCATATCCACATCTGTTCTCATGAAAAGTCAAAGATAAATGCACGAGTTCTTCAAATGCAGTTTATAGTAATCCACCCAAGGCTAAATTTTGAGCTTCAAAAATTCTATCCGCACTTTTATTTTAATGTGTGATTTTATATGTAACGGTGGGGTGGATTCTCCATGACTGGAGCGATGAAGACTGTGTGAACATACTCAAGAACTGCAAAAAGGCCATTCCAGGAAGAGACAAAGGGGGAAAAGTGATTATCATAGACATGGTGATGGAGAGCCAGTTAGAAAATCATGAGTCTGTTGAAGCCCAGATTTGTTTTTACATGCAGATGTTGGTTCTTTATACTCTTTTGGGATGCTGGCTTCAGCGGCTATAAAGTCTTTCCAGTGTTCGGTACAAGGGGTCTCATTGAGGTTAATCCCTAATAAAGGAACATTAATACCATAAAAATCTGTTGACCTTGCTATATTTATGCGTCTTGATGTATCTCACTGAGGTAGTGAACCTCTGCATTTGTGTTTGTTTGCTGGAATATTTTATAATCTGTTGATCTTGCTATAACCATGTTGGTAAGAGACTGCACTTTGTTTGTTTCCCAGAATAATCTCTGCCCTTGAATTCAATGCATATGCTTTATGTATACAAATAACAAAGATTACTTCCTGCAAGTGTTTTTTCTGGTGCTTAATTGTGGTAATGAAACACAGCGTTACATGCACCAAAGATTCGATAAGTGCCAAAATTTGCACAATCTCTGCTCGGTCTACACCAATCAGCTAAACTAAGTATCATGCAATCAGAATAGAAGACGACTCACTAATTGAAAAAAAAAAAGAAAAAGAAAAAAGAGAGAGAGATAGAAGACGATTCAGGAATACAATTAACAGATTGTTTGTTCAATTTTCTGTGTGAATTAAATCACGAAATATACTCGAGTACTATTGCTTATTGAATTGCTTTGACCAATGATTATCCGAGAACTCTTACCTGATCCCTCCTTGAAGGCGACATCACAAGCATATTGGTCTTCAAGATAAAAAGGTATTATTGGTGCAAATTGGAATTGACCCTTCGTCTGACACAGTATCTTCTCTCGAAAACAAGTCCAATGACACTTTGCATTTTTATCGAATATTCGCTTAATACATTTTCCAAACATATTTTTATTTCATGAACATTACATCCAAAAATTATAACCGCAATTTCTTTCCCAAAATCTCTTCCTCAAAATGCAATTCAAACATCCTCTTAATTTTCTACAAAGGAAAGCTTTTAGAGCTCAAGCAAACATCACTCGCACTAGTATCACCTAACCAATTCTGCAGCTTCCCTTCATCCAATATGCAAACATCACGTGTAGGAGCTCATGTCAAACTCTTACCATATATTCAAGGTGAATTTTTACTTTAAAAAGAGATGGACAATCGTTTCTTGTTGGATTATTCTCACTACATTTATATATTTTGCTTTTAGTACACCACGAGACTTGATGATGTACGAGTAGTTTTCTAAATTCACGGGCCAAAGTTGAAGATTTCTAAATTTAGTTTTTATTTCATAGATAGATATACATGATCATGACCATGACCAGAATTGAAACTCTTGGCTTGCTCGTAACCTTTATTCCTTGTTGCCAATCGTCAAATGTGCTTACATGTCGCCTGTACTCAGTTGCACTTAGCGTATTGTACATGGAAACTGAAGATGAATGAAATAGGGCTTCGCTAAGCATTGAATTAGTGAAGAATAAAAAAAAAAGAAATAAAGAAAAAGAGAGTTCCTTCTGTAAATGAATTAATTTCTGAAGATCCATGCCACACTTTCTTGCCTAAAACCACTCTTAGGGTCTCCACGTCCCAGATTGCAAAACCTGCATGCCTATTTGCCCAACTCAAAAAATTCAAATTTAATGCATTTGGGCCCAAATTAATCAATAATTTATTTTTACGCCAAACTGTAAAACTTAAGTTAATAGTTGCAACAACAATTTTTCAAGAGAAAAAGCCCTCTGCTATTTTATGTGAGAGGCCACATTAAACAAAATTTCCTTGACGAGTCAAAATTAAAGAATCGATCTTTTGTGAGCCCATACAAGATTAAAAAGCACCCCGACACTAATATGAGATTTTGACAGGTGTCGAGCCTGTGCAATAATAAATACCTACTCGAGAAAAAATAAATTTTCTGTGTATAGTAGTGAGTAGGGTCGAATCCACAGGGACTGGGAAAAATTTGATTCCTTTCAAGTTCGGGACACGGGGGATTTTTATCAGAAATAAACTAAAAATAATTAAACAATTTAACTAAAAATAATTAAATAATTTAACCAAAAATAAATAATTAATTAATACAATTGTAAATAACAATTAAATAAATGATAAATAAATTCTAGCCAAGGATACAACTACGCAGACACAGTCCATTCATCTGATAATTGATGCAAAGAAGGTTCACTTAATTTAATTAATAGGCTAGTTATAGTCACCGATAAACTCTAATGACCAGCTTTTCCTTAATTTATTGATAACCAAGGTACGACCGTTGATTACCCCTAACCAGGAAATACTCCTAGGTACGACCGTAGGAATTAATTTCCTAATTGCATTAAAAACTAGAAAAGCCTAACCCAAATTAATAACACGCTACGAGGGTTATTTAAATCAGATTGCATGTCCTCCTAGTATGTGAAAATACTAGTTGTCACTAATATTAACCAACTAAACAATTACGGATTTAATTGATTAATTTGACAAGAGATTAATAAGTCAAATTGCACATCGGGCCCTTGATATCCAATTAACAAAATAATCCCATGGAAATTAAAATAGAAAACATGCAAATATTAATAAATTAAGGAACACGTAAAATTAATTAGATCTCACAGATATTTGGGACTGCGTCTTCGCGTTGATCCTTGACTAGAGGAGAAAATTAGCCACGCCTCATAAGAAAATTCCCACGCAATTTAAATGGAATCAAATACATAAATAACTAACTAAGAATTTAGGAAGAAACTTGAGTCTCCGTAGACTCTTTGAACCAAAGTTGCACACTACAAACAAGGAAAGGAAGAACTCCTCTGAAAACCTGATACTACCTCTCTTCCTCTCCGTAGAGAGAAAACTAATCTAATGTCTTCTGCCAGCCCTCCTCTAGTGCCTTTTCCTCCTTTTATCTTTAGCACTAGTTTCCTAAGAGAACTAGTGACGTAGGAATCAAATTGGAAAAGCTCCTTTCATTATCAAAGTCCATCTTGACTAATGAGTATATCTCCCACAATAAGAACACATTTTCTAAATCAATGTTACGTGGTCCCCGCAGAATTCTCTCCTTTTGATTTCTTATTGCTAGTGGACTTGCCAGGACTTAATAATAGGAAGGCAACTCTTCATCAGCAATTCCGTTGGTTTGCACAATTTGGGCTGATTGTGGAAAGCTTTTAGAAACTTTCACGTGTGGAGAAATCTTCTCAAGAAGGTCCCCTTTTAGCACTTTTCTGCTCCACTTTCTGAAATTATATCCAAATACCAAATATAAATATATATTGACAATTAAAACAATATTTGGCACGGATAAAGAGGAAAATTAATGATAAAATTACTAACAATTAATACCCTATCAATTCCCCCCACACTTAAATCATGCTTGTCCTCAAGTATGGGAACACTGAACTCAACAATGGCTAACTCTCATTTCATTTACTGCCAAGCTACGCTTATCCCAAAATCAAGTTTTAGTGGCTAAGTGTCAAAACATATTTCTCCCGGTTAGCTCCTGAAATCATAGACTCGTCCAATTCATGGCTAACTCGTCTAAGAAATTAAAATATTAAACTAGCAAAAGTTAGCAATTGGGTCAACTGAAAATCAAAATCTCAACATTGAAGAACAAGGATCGGCAGGCCAACATGATCATAAGCTTACTTATTATTTTCTTTTCTTTTCTTTTTCTTTTTTTTTAAATGAATAAATGCTCAGTCCCAAGCTATTCAAGTCTTTTGACGTGAACTCTGACATTTTTAGATGAAAGAGCCCAGTTACTCAACTTTTCACAGCTTCAGGACTAACTACTCATAAATATCGCCACTTTTTGACGCGAGAGTCGACACTTGTGGTGAAGACTCCCGGTTACTGGGTGACGGCACTAGCGGAGTAGAGTCATTATTAACCACAATTAAGGCATCAGAATACCATATAATTAAAGATCATGACCCACATCATCTCCTAATATGGAGAACTAAGATTAAAAATTGCCCAATTCACACAACAATTGCTAGTAAAATATTTATATTGCCTAAACAATTTAACCACAATTTGCACCAAGTCATAAAACTCATGGTATTCACCAAGATAACATACTTTTACTTGCCACTTAAACAAAATTCATAAGATAAATCACAACCAGCAATAAACGAATGAATTGCCATATTTATTCATCAAAACACTAGTAAGAAAGGCAGCAAATTAAAGAAACACCAATCAAAACTAAATCCAAATCCCCCCCACACTTAAATCACACATTGCCCTCAATGTGATAATGAAACAGTAAAAATAAGAAGAAGGACAACGAAACTCCCCTGAATCTTGTGCCAGCTATTAGCACTCGTAGTTGGAGGAGGCGGAGCGGAGGTCAAAGGGTCGGGATCGTGGTTTCACCATTCTTTCCAAATTGCACTCCAAACCACAATAGACAACAGTTGCTAACGAATAATGGAAACAAGAAATTCAAAGCACTAACAAATGAAAAATCAATTCAATGAACAAAATGCACACTTCATTCACTCACAAGTTATACAGATATCTCAACACTTATAACAAATGCAATCAATAAACACTCGTGGTTCCAAACTTATCCAAATGTAATAATAATGTACCTCAAAATCACCCCAATCAATGTAGTAATTGAAATGCAAACAGACAAAAGGCTCTCATTTAAGGCAATTGAAGGCAATCTACTTCAATAAGTAAATTTAAGTGTTAAAGGCACCTCCCAATTGAACAAACAACTGTAGCAAATTACCCACAGTTAGACACAAAGTACAGCAGATTAAACACAATTCGACCTAAAATATATATATATATAATGATTAACGATTGGACATTCAATTCTAAAAATCACACGACTAACCACAAGTCAATCTACTAAATAAATAAAAATCAAGCAAAGTAAAAAGAAACAAGCAAAGTAACACAGAAGTACCCAACTAAGGAGGAATAGAAATGTCAGGTAGTCCAAACACGCAAAATTTTCAAAAACGTACTGTACTAAAAATAATAAAAACATACTGCAATAATAAAATAAGAAAATAAAAAATAAATAAAAAGATTGAGCAGGCGCGTGCATACGAAGCCAGTGGTGCGATGAAGGTGGTGGCTG